ATCGTTACTTTTACATTGGGTTTAATTTAGTATTCTTTTTCTTATGCAAGATATGATTTTATCTTTGATAATATAGATTTATTTTTTCAAGCATGTGGATGCTTGAGACTTCTCATTTGCCTCATAACTTACATTTTACAATGGCTCCAAACATGGATGGGTTTCTATTCAACACATAAATTTTTAATGATGTAAAAATTATGAAACTAAGATGCATATTAATAAATAATGTAAGGTCTCATCTTCCCTCTTAAGCACTACATATCATTGTTTGCTTACCATTAAATCACAGTCTTTCTAACTTAAGTAAGAGCTACAATGACTTTTATTATTGAGGATTTCCCCCAAAATGTTAGGTATGCTGCTTTTAGTTTTTGCCTTCCTTTTGGTTTGATTTAGCTTTCTATATGAAATGCCACTCGAACCATGACTGTGTGAGTTAGTTTGTTTCTTTTTAAGGACACTCTAAACATATACTTTGTTTCATTATATCATTAAATACACTCAAGTAAATGGAAAAGACAAATTTTTTATCGTATACTGAAGTTTGATTATGCATGTATGATGTAAAACAACTCTTATCATTGTTCTTCTTAGACATTTTTATATAGATATGACTTTGTTTGAAAATATGTATTTATGTTAGTGTAGTTGGACGTTGTTTGTCATACATTAAATACTTTCCAATATTATTCATGGAGAACTTACCAAATTAAATAGTTACTTCAATCCTCAACAACATGAACCATAAAAAAAATATACCTCAATGTTTACTACACGTATACATGAAAATCAAACTCTCCCGGCCAAGAGGCCAGGCCCTAATCTAGTTTATATATATAGAGGTTAGACTGGTGTACTTTTAGAGTATAGTATATTCTAGGTCCTTCTAGTGAGATATCAATATCTAGACCATGACTTAAACCGAGTTTAAAGTATGATACTATACCCGAACCTCTAATGGATAAACCCCAGACACCAATTTTGTAAACCCAAACCAAAAATTCAATTTAATAGAAAATAATAACTGACCGTTGCGATTGGTTGGAGCTCATAAAAGTGCACCGATGATTTATACGGTTTCAAGGTGCATATCAATTAAACCCAAATTAGGTTAGTTCGAGTAAGGTTTTGCCATGAACTGGGTCATGTCTGTTCCTCGGATATGACCCATCATCAAGTAAACCCTAATTTCCTAACCCAACAACCATACAACCCCTCGTCGCTTTTGTTCCGTTGTACTCCTGGAGTATAGTGTATACTCCAGACACTTCTGCACTTTGTTTGTTTAGAGGTGCAAATAGAGGGGAGTTAATTTGGGGCCAATGTATTTGCACCCATTTGCATAGTTTGCAATAGTAGTGAAGGGGGTTAATGAGGGGCAAATCGACTATTCCACTAAACCCCCCAATTTGCGGTGCAAAAGGAGAGAGTAAGTGAGAGAGGATGGATGATAAAAGGTTAATTTAAAATATTATGTTGATTCATATTTTGTTATTATGTTTAATGATTATTTAATAAATAAAAATATAATAAGTAACAATTATGTTATATTTTAATGATTATAATAATTACAATAAATATAATAAATACAAAATAATTATTATTTTCATTTTTTATTACTATGTGATTATTAATATAGATGTTGTCCGGCGTTCACGTTTGGCTCAGGTGAGTAAGTTTGTCAAAGTTTGTGTATTCAAATCAAGATCTCTTTGTTTACTCAAAATTACGCTGAAATTAAAGAGAATAAGTGTTTAACTTACATATTCTAACGTGATTTTACATATCAATTCCACACCGGTTTAGTTAACTCAATTTACATTATTAAATAGTTAAAGCTTACATCTTCGAACGTATTTAATTAACTTTACATGATTACATAGTTAAAACTTAAATATTCGAACGTGTTTACGTAAGTTTGACCTATTCAAATTTAAAGTTAAAGTGGACACGAGAATCGTATAGGATGACCAGTTGTGGTTAAACTAAGCACGAGAACCCTGTAGGATGACTAGTTACGAGTTGAGTTTTGAGTTTCGAGGCCACTCGACCAATGATTATTACATTTGTTATAATTAATTATTATTTGAGTATTACTATTTTATGATTAATTTTATTAAAATATATTGATTAATATTTATTATCATATAATAATTCCTATTTTATTATATATTCATTCCTATTTTATTAATATATTTATTTATAATAATATAATTTACTTACTTCTCAGACTATTTGCACCCCCTTACTTTTTCATCCAAACAACAATTTACCACTCCACTTACACCCCTCATTAATTTGCACCCTCCTGCAATTTACACCACAACTTGCACCCCACTCGAATTTCCACCCCCTTAGTTGCCAAACACAGTGCTAGTAAAATATCGCTATCTAGACCATGATTTAAATCAAGTTTAAAGTATGATACTATACCCTAACCTCTAATGGATAATGTTGTAAAAAAAAACCTCTAATGGATAAACCCCATACACCAATTTTGTAAACCCAAACAAAAAATTCAATTTAATAGAAAATAATAATTGACCGTTGAGATTGGCCGGAGCTCATAAAAGTACATCTACGATTTATACGGTTTCAATGTTCATATCAATTAAACCAAAATTAGATTAGGTCTGGCAAGGGTTTGCCACGAACTGGGTCAAGTCACTTCCTCGAATATGACCCAACATCAAGTAAACCCTAATTTCCTAACCCAACAACCATACAACCAATGTAGTCAAAATCCCGATTTTAATCTTAAAATCTTACGATTTTACGATTTTACCTATGGGTTCCGATCCTGATTTTACTGTAAAATCTTTGAACCTTAAAATCCCATAAAATCCCGATTTAAAACTCTAAAATCCATAAAATCTACGATTTCTACGATTTTGTACGATTTCAAGGTTCATATAAATTGGATCAAAATTAGGCCGGTCAAGTTGGGTTATGCCCATGAACCGAGTCAAATTTACTTTCCCCAACCCAACATAATGAACAACACAACCCCAACCTGAAAGTTAACCCTCAATTTATTTTCATTCTCTTCCTCGTATCTTTCTCTTTCGCACGTCGGCGCCCAACTCCTTCCATCAACGATATCTTCCACCCTCCCAATTAGCTTGTAGTTTGTTCCCACCACCCTCACAATAATCCAAATATCCATTACATTGCAAGCTTTTGTTCATCTCCCAATCCTTCAGCACCACTAACCCGACCTTTTATCAATTAAGAAGGGAATGCATCAATCAATGAGTTATCTTTTCCAGATGATGGTAATCAAGAAAATATGGTTAATGGTGAAAGTACTTCAAGTGATCATAAGAGTAATGATATTAGTCCTTAAACAAATAAAAACGATGAGAGTGAGGGTGAGGTTGAGGATGATGACGATGATGTGTAAGTGATGTTAATGTTGATCCTAACGATCTTATGTGATTTTTTACTCTTAACAATTAATTAACAGTGATATCTATAATGTTTCATGTTTCTTATTTGTGTGTTTCTATTATGTACAAGAAAAATATATGGATTAGTTGTGTTTGTTTAGCAAACAAACTTATCTTGGGAAGTAATTATGCTTTATGTGGTTGATTGTTATTCAAGATATGCATTTTTATTACTATCTAGTGTTTTAAGTATTTATTTTAATATGAACCTTAAAATCTTACGATTTTACGATTTTAATCTACGATTTCGATTCTACCTCAGTTTTCGATTTTACTTAAAATCTAGATTTTGACTGCACTGCATACAACCCCTCGTCGCTTTTGTTCTGGTCTGCATCTCTCCATCTCCGACAACCAACCTTCTCCCTCACGATTTATGTCTCATCTCTTCCTTTCCCACAGCCGGCCTCCTTCCATTGCGATATTGTTCTCATCACTCCCTTGTTGCGAGCCATCGCCACACTCATCCCCTTCAATCATTCAATTCCCATTCGTTCACATCCTCATCGCTTTTATTCTAAGAGTGAGGTTGATGATGATGAAGTTGAGGACTTATTAATATTAATTCTAACGATCTAATGTGATTTTCTACTCTTAACTATTTACTATATTAAGTAATTCTTATGAGATTTTGTAATGAACCAATATGGGAAAAGGGTTTTAATTTTTAGTATCAGAAATATAGGGACTAGTTGGGATATTTTGTAAAAGGTATAAAACTTGTCCTTGATGTAGAGCTGCATCTATAAGAAATAACATAATCATTTTACTATTCCTCCACCAACTATTTCTTTCAACTCCAAATCTCCACAGCCACTTAGATAACATTGATCCCGATCCTCTATACTCCTTCGAGGCTTTACACAAATCCCAACTGACAAGAGACATTTTCTGCGAGTAACCAGTTCCACACCAAACAAATCTTCTTTGGATCTTCTCAATCCTGTTTACCACAGTTTTTGACGATTTAAGAAGAGAGAAGTAGTAGACAGGCTGACTAGTAGAATAGAGCTGTTCATATCAAGGCGAGTACCAAAAGAGAGAAAACGCATCTTCCATCCCTCGAGACGATGCTGAAACTTATCAGCGACTGTATCCAAAGTAGATTAATTTATTCACTAGTTTATTACTTTTCTCAACATCGATCATTCTGTATTTTAACATTTCATAAACTTTTGATTTGCTATATTCTTTTCAAATAACTATTAATAATGGGATTCTTGAGCTGTACAGATCCTTTAAAAGGCAATATTACTTTTCTTACTTTATTACTTATCGCATCAATTGTCATGCCAAGTTGAATGTTGGCTCGAGTCCATACATATATGATAATTAGACCATAATGAACTGCAAAATCCAATTTCTATCATGGATCTAATATAATAATAGTTGAGACTTTTGCATATTAGTGTATTTCTTGGTCACTAAGAATATCGTTTGCCGTTGAGATTAGTTGTAGCGGATTGAATTATAAAAATAACACTTTTAGATAAAGTGTATAAATAAATAACACATAAAGGTTAGGTACAATATATATAGATAATCCATGTATATTTCATAGTTATATTAAATACGAATCTAAGCTTAGTTCATGTTCCACGAAGATTAATGAACAGATCTCGTTTGTATAAGTATAACAAGTAATATTGATCAACTTGTGTAAAGTACAGAATGTAACAATTATATATATTCTTTGCATCTCTTTCGCGACCAATCCACATGGTTCCTTCGGAACAACAACAAAAAAAAAAATCAAGAAATTAATGCTACACGCTGAGGTATGTCTAGCTGAAAAAAAAAATATTAATGAGCTAGTAACTAGTTGGCTTTAGCGACGGCGGCGACCTCCATGGCGACGAGTCGACGACAACATCACCGGCCGGTGCTGGATGCGACCGAACTCCAAAGAGGCCGAACCCGGCTACGTTCATCTCGTTCAACGGGCACCGACCACTCCCACGGCCGGGAACATGACCGCACGGCGACGATTTAGACGGTGGCACCGGTCCCCTTTGCAGCGACTGTATAATCAGCGCCGGCCGTTGTTGCTGCTCTGTCTCCAAAAGTGGCCTGGCCGTCGCTATATGTCTACAACTTAACCCCAGAACAATAGCAACCAGTAGCAACACCGACGTTAATCTCGCCGAACCCATCTGAAAGAAAATGTGGAGAGACGAGAGAGTTTGTGGTCTGTGAGAGTTTTAAGAGACTTTTTTTGAGTGATGCTGGTAATAAATTTAAAGGCGCTGTGTGAACTGTGAGGATATATAGAGACTTTTTTTGAGTGATGCTGGCGTCGTCAAAGGCCGCGGTGTTGAATGGGAGAGAGGGTCTGATTTGAAAGAGTCTTTATTTGGAAATTGAACATACGAGGAAGCCGGAAATTGGCCTTACTTCTCGTTCCCTCCCTCGTGCTTTAGACTGCCGGTCTTTGGATATTGTGTTTTGTTTCATATTGGTACACATAGCCTCGTCTATTTCTTTCCTTTTCATTCTTAACTTCATCCAATAAGCTCACAATATTCTAGCACGAGAAACAAAGTTGGATTTACTGGTAGATCTACCGGGGTTAAAAGTAATGTTGAAAATGGGCCTGACCCCAGGAATGGCAATGGGCAGGTCCGGGGCGGGTTTTTTTACCGAAATTCGCCCCGTGGTAGATCGGGTTCAGGTCGGGTAATTTATCAAGGATCGCAGGTCGGGCAGGTCGACCCAATGGGTATGCAATTTATATGAAAAAACATTAGAAATATTCGTTACTTTTATTATAAGACCAAGAAAACAAACATTATTATCATAAATGTTGTTAAATTATTATAGAAATTGAGGTTTTCACTAATTTACAACTTTATTATAGCTAAATTATGATGTAATAAAGGAAAAATCCTAAGTAATTTGACTAAGATTACATGTAATTTAGGCAAGAACGGGTCGAGAATTGGACGGGTCAGGGCAGGTTGGGTGGATGAGAGTACCCATGCCCGCCCCGCCCCGCCCCAAAACAGGCCAAACAGGTCGGGCAAAACAAATCAGGTCGAAATTGTCATCCCTACCTGACTCGTCAGTAAGAAGCCTCTATGATCCATTCTTGTAGGCTCAGTTTATAAAACTTACCTGCCGCACTTTTGTTTCTTTCTTGACTTTGTCTGTAGATCGACTCAAATCAATGCACTATTTTTTTTAAATTGCATTTTGGCATCTAAATTTATTGGTCGTTATATTTAGTACGTATTTTTTTGTACAAATAGGTTCATAATTCTTTGTTGTAAATTACATTGTAGTACATTTATTTTTTATCTTGCATTATACTACCTAAAATTTTGAACTTTACAAACATGTCCAATATGTTTGTATGAGGATTTTCTTATCATGGTCAAAAAGTGACCTGACCCTAAGTTGACCCGGTTCTACCCGATTCAAAGTTGACCTGAAGACAAACTGACTCGGCCGGCCTTAAAACGGTTAGATCGAACCTAGCCAATGGATATCTAGTGCCCAGGCCCTAGATGAGTTGGTGTTTACATTGATACATATAATATAACATTCGACCTATTTATAAACCACGTTGGCAGTGGACAGGATAGACAACCATTTCATTACGACTTTTAATTTTGTAGGTGAAACTATAACTTGAGTTGAGCTAAGTTGATTACGCTCTACCGGAGTTTCAAACTAGTCTCGCAAATAATATTCAAGTTACTTCGTTGTTGTGCTTCAATTACTTCAACAACTCGAACGTTCACACCCTACCCAAAATCTACCTCATAGAGATTGGTAAGATGCTATATTATGATTAGAATATTTGGTGTGCAATTTGAACATGTTTCATTGGGTATTAATCCGCAATGAGTCAAGTATTATCCTATCTATAGTAGAGTAGGTCGGGCATGTGCACAACTTTTGCTCTGTCCCACTATATCCTATCACTTTCTAGAGGTGTTTTATCTCGATTTGCATCGATATCTATTTGTATTTCTCCAATTTTTACTTTATATAATGATATTTTCTCCCAATAAAATTTTGAGCAAGAGCTAAGTTTTATCTTTCAACTAATTGAAGTCAATTACTCATTCTATTATCTCTTGTTTTATTTATGAAGTCCTTTCCTTTTGTTTTATCATTAAAAAATATTTAACTTTGAGTTTATTTAGTTAAATATGTTAATTTGTTTTGTTTATTTTCTGTAAACAACCCGATCTACATAACTTTATGCATGACCTCATCTACTATTATTCAATAAAAATGAATCTCAATTGTAAAAATATTTTTTTTATAAAAATGATATAGGTTTATTATGTAGAAGACACAAAGAAAATTAAAGATGCAACAAGTTCCAAAATAAAAATAAAAAGCCTAGAAACTCAACCATCATAAGATAAAAGACAACATCTTTTTTGTTTTTTGTTTTTTGTTTTTTTGTTTATATAAGATGGAGCGTTTAAAGGCATAGACCAGGAAACCGCATCGTACCGGCCCGTTCAACCGAAAATTGGACCAAAAGCGGTACGGTGGGCTGATTGTGCTGATTTTACCGTGCCGGCTGGTTTTTTCGGTTTGACCGGTTGAACCGGCCGGTATGATCCCGTTTCCTGGTCTATGATTCAGCTTCATTTCTCCGTATTCTCGTCCAATATGTGGAAAATAATTAAAAAGAATATTATTTTGCTATTTTTCTATGTTGAAAATGGGTCACCGTGGTTGTATAATGCTCTATTAGGTTCTTTTTTTTAAGGATTATATTTTTTATACTATCGCATTTCATTTCTCTATCAATAGTGAAAAACGGTATTTACCGGTACAAAACGGTTGAACCACGGTCGTACTACAAAATACCATACCAGAAAGGAATCCGGTATGATGTCCTGTACGGTTTCCTTTACCATGCTTAAAGGGCGCTCATGCCTTTATTCATAGACGAACCGAGTTGATTGAACCTCAATAGAGTCGTGATACAACCAATAGGCAAACACAATAGAGCAAAACACTATCCGCTACTGTGATATGGTGACAAGCCAACTAGGGCTGGCTATTTGGTCCGGACTGTTTGGTTTTACCCGAAACCGGACCGTATAACCCGGATTGGACTGGGACCGGATAACAAACAATTCAATCTCATATTCGGGCTTATATTTGGTCCAATTTAACCGGACCGGACCGTATAGCCAAATAGTCAGCGACAATATTCGCTTCCCTATACACATGGACGATACGAGCCTGCCAATCCTGTGTGAGACATCTGCGAATCTTTGTGAAGCTCGTGAAATGAAGATGGTGTGGTGTGGCCGTCTCTATGAGAGACTTAGGTAGTCAAATATGTCTGGAGGATAACCTTCCCTAAGGTTCACAGTAAAAGCTGAAATGAAACGATCGTTGTCTCCCCGTACGACTCCGCCTGCCGGTGAGCTGGAAGGAGAGTGTATAATTGATATGTCTATATTGAGGCAAGCCCACCCTAATGCATTTAGGATCTGCTATCTTAACTGGGCAGCATTACCTTGAAAGTGTGCATATGACTTCAAGTCAACTCATCTTAGAAGCCGTAGTTATTCTGGTTCTTCCACAACAGGCAACACGTGGTGGCAAACAAGATGCTGTCAATGGCCCTACTCCGTCCTGTGATGTAATGCAGCAACCACTCTTGTAAATCCAGTCCAAATAAACTCCCATCAGGATCAGGTTCGTCATTGAGGAATGTCGCCCACGTAGCTCACGCAAAAGGACAGTCTCGAAAAACATGTGGATCGTCGTTTCGGGTCCGCAAAGACGTTCGAATTGTTGTGGCAAAGAATGGAGGAGAAATGGAAACTCCACAAGGAAAAACCCAGGTGCACCACTCTTTACGCACGATTGGTTTCCTAGACCATGCCAATTATTTTTTGTTGTTATAAGAACCGAAACAGATCAACGGCTAGGTCAGTAGTATCGTCAAACCAATTACGATAGCGGCCTGATCCATGCTTGAACTGTTATTGATGGATCAAGTGATTGTTCACAATTCAACATAAAATCAGATGAACCACCATGGTTTAACTGGTCCATCAATTCACTATTTAAACCACAACTTTATTAAAAAAAAAAACTTTACGTAAACTAAGACCGTCAAATCAAAATTATTAAGTTTATTCCGTATTCCTCTTCTTATTTTACAACCTCACTGTCGACTTTACGTGGTCCTCTGCCGACTGGCACCGTAATTTTTAACTTGAATTAAACAAATTATGATTTATTTTATGAGACGGTTTGAATAATTTGTTAGATATTTTGGTGATGATATGAATTTGAAAATGTTTATAATCAATGAAAAATTCATTCTTAAGTTAGTGTATTATACAAGTCTTGTATGTTATATATCATGAACGGTTTTGTAACGGTTAACCAATGAATTTGAAATTGTTATGTAATATACAAGTCGATTAAAAAATTAAAGGACTAAAGAAGGCAACTTAATCTCAACCATTCAACCATTATATTTAATCTAAAAGATCAAAATTTTGTTGTTAAGTGGTGAATAATATTTGGCCTGTTCAGCTTAACTTATGCCACTTCTATCCCTTTTCGCTACATATATTTATTGGCACTCTCTGACTCTGATGATATCAGAGTCAAATGCTCTGTTTTGTTCGTACGGGACACGGTTTGAAACGTTCAGTTTCGGTTCGTATTTAATAATCCAAGGACTGGACGTGGGTTTCCGTTTCTTTTATTTGCTCAATCAAACTTCACATCTGATCTCTGGGCTGAGATCGGTGCAGTAGTTGGCTATTTTCTTACGGGCTTTCCACTTTCAAATCTCTTCCTGCTTCCATAAACTTTCTGTCTAACTCATTTTAATTTGTCTAAGCTGTGTTGGAGGTTGGGATTCTCCAAATTGATGCATTTAATCAATTTGTGTATTGTAATTTGATTTATTTATCAAATATACGAATTTGGAAAAAGTTTGTTTGGAATTTTAGATTGTGTTTTTGTTATAAAGTAATATACGTTTAATTAGGTAACAATGAAATCACAATGGTTAGTGAACTACGATAAACCCCTATTTAAAAAAAAAAAAAGATAATCGTATATATTGATTGACCAAAAGATCAATAAATCCTGGAATTCAGCCAGACCCGGAAATCAAAGAAACGACACGTAGTCGGGTACAAAGAAAGGGTCTTTCTAACCACCAAATGGACCACCTTATTACTACTCAGACCTACATATCGCACATTAAGCCCAAAATGCAGCGCAAAATAGCAG